TACTGTCAAGTTCCACTTCAAAAACACCCCCCATTTCACCCAAAATCTTTACAATAATTGACGTTGATATCTTAAAAGTATCAGACACGGCTCTGAAACGCTAAACTTCGTGTCTCACCCTCAAAGTCACTCGTTTTGTCCCGTCAGTCCAAGAAGATCCAAAGGCAGGAACTTAGGAGATGACCTAACGTAAGGTTTCCTCGCCCTACTGACGCATATTTATTCAAGAAATGAACTTTCAGCCGTACACGATGTTCTTATGGAAATAGCGTACAGTCCAGCGTTACAGGATTAATAGAAACCGTTGGAAACACCGACGATAACGTTCCAGCGATAGGTGGTCCGAAAAGGTGGCCACCCAAAAAGCGCCGTGGCCCGTGACAGAAGTGGACGAACACGTACCCTGATGCAGAGCTACTTAGGGTAATTCGCGGGGATCGGTGGGTCATCCTGTGCACGTGATTCGAGGGAACTTTGACGTAGCTCGCGGACTCTCGTATCTAAATATACATGTGTACGTGCGGTCGTCGAATAAGAGACACGAAATGGGCCCAGGAGGACTCGGTCTGTGTATCGCCACGCTGGAATCCCATACGGGGAGAATTGAAATTATTCCCTCGATTTTTGTCGTGTCGTTTACATTATTTTCGCCTTTGAATATTAATGGGCATATGCTCTCCGGCGTTATGGCACAAGAAGTAACAACGGCGTATAATACTCGACTCTTAACGTTATTCTATTGTTTGCAAATCAGCTCTATTGTTTTCTCATATACCTCTATACTCTCCCGGTTCCCTCTTTGCCCTCCTCCCTTACCCTCCGCCATCGCGTCCCTATCCATTCTCTCTCTCTCTCCGTCCCTCTTACGACGCGAACGATCTTCTTTCACCCCTCTCCATGCCCCTCGCGAGACGTTCCTCGCTCTTCCTTTTCGTGCTCGATCTTCTCCTTCTTCTTCTTCTTCTGGTAAGTCGTCGTCGTCGCGGTCGTCGTTGTCCTCTTAGGCAACGTGCACACACGGCCACCCTACCGTATTTTCTATTTGTTTCTATGATCGTCGCTTCTTTCCTCTGGCTCGGCCTCTTCCTCGCCTGGCTCCCGTCCCTCGGGCTCTCATTTTTGCCGGGTTTCCACGGGACGCGACTGGGACTTCTTCACGGACCTGTGTGGGCTGCTCTGCAATCGAAATCTCCTCTGTCCAGGAGCACGAACCGCGGCAGAATATCGACTTTCCGATGTCTGGAAAGCCGATCGAATACGTGGGAATCCATTTTTAACCCAAATTAGCTTGCAACAGCTGAATATCGTTTACAAGTTACAGATAATATTTTAATCTTGACTTATTTATTAGTTTGTTACAGTTTAAATTTGTCTCTTACTAATTATAAGAATCTAAGAAACTAGAAAATTGTTGACCCATTCGATATATGTAAATATCAGACTCGATTGATGTCTTCTTTACGACAGTGACTAAGCAAACATCTAGGTCCTTTACAAATCAGTTTAAAATAGTTGCAAATATTTCGAAGGACAGGTTCGAGAGAAATAAAGGGAATGCAGGATATAACGATCGTCATCCATGTTTATTTGAAATCTTATCATGCCACCAAGCTTCTACAGGAAGTTTGATACTTTCTACTCAGTTTATCACGATTAAAACATAGATACAACTTCATGCACGTCCTTGAACATTTTTCTTTACCATATTTACACACTTCTAGTAGTTCGATCCTAAATAAACTTTAAACTGAGCAACGCAAAATATCGGTTTCCACAATGGCTTCCGTAACTATTGGAATATTTATATCGATCGTTGACTATTTTCCTTCGCCTGGAACTCGACGAGACGTATTTTGAACGAATACTGACACCGATTACGTTTGCAAGAACGCCGGGGGCCATGTTCGATGGATCGAAGACCATGGTTCTTCGGGGGTCCGATCGCGACGTACGATTTCCCGCGGAAACGGCACGAAACATTCTTTCCGGCGCATTGCCATGCGATCCGCACATGCGATCCGTAATATTGGACATCGAAGGTCGACGATAATTATGAGCACGGAATATAAATGGCCGATCGGTGGTCGCGGAATCGATGGAACGCGATTAGTCGCGCACGTGAGACGGGTTCGATCGCGAGCAGAAGAAGAAAATCGACGCGACGCGATCGGCAGAAAATGGAAACGTCGGGGACACGATGGTCCTAACGATGGGGGGGGACCACCGGACCCCAGGGATGGGCCTACTAAAGAAATCGACGCAACCTAAAAGAGATCCTTCCTTTCTTGATCCCCAAAAAATTTGCTGTCGCGACGAGGAAGAGTAAAATTAAATCCTGTGTTTAGATTTCTATCAAATATAGCCTTTCGTATCTGGTGCTGAAAGTTAATTAACCTACTGATTTTTTTTTTAATTTTTACGATTTTTAGAAGGCAATTTAAACTGTAACAAACTATAGTTAAGATTTAGGTATTTATTCAAACGTTTCACATATTTTGATAATTTTCTGCCATATTATGCACTTGGTTTAACTATTTTGGTCGATCATTCCTGTAAATAACCTACTTTTTCTCGTTTCGATTTATTAATAATTATAAAAAAATTGAAATCCGAAATTTTTGACCAACCAGTCCTCCTACAGCTTTTCATCGATGAATTTTCTTGATACAAGAGTGTCTATATGTTTTTGTAGTTCTCTGTGTGTTTCCTACACTTTTAATGCACGATTCTTTAAATGTCGAGTGCCTAAATTTAGTCAACGTGAACGGCAATGCATTCGAGACTATATTGAGCTTTTGTAAAATATTATGGATGAAGAACAGGACTCGACGTGACTAATTTCAGGGCCTTATAAGTATAGATTTGTCAGCGACGAGAACGCTATGTGGCAATCGCTTCATAAATTCAGCGACTCGGATCGTCATCGCAGATAGGGCTTCGGAAATCGTACAGGATTCGAATAATTTGTACCGCGATGGGGCTTCCGGGTAACTGTCGTCCCTTATCGCCGACTCACCTTCTAGGCTTTTTCGTTTCTCCAGCATTTTAATTTGCTCCAACCCTTGCGCGCGAACCCGTACGTTTTCGTAACAAACGGTCTGTGATGGATTGCGAAAGCTTTCGAAATTTTCTTGAAGCTCACAGTGGCTGATGTGAAAATCATTCATTCGCTATTTCTATTATTGTAAATTTGTATAAAACCCTGACAGAAATTGTGTCAATATTACTTAACGATTCTAATGTACTCTCGAAACTGTCATCTTGTTCGTGATGAAAATTTATGTCGATCAGTTCACCCATGTTGTATTTTTTATATATAATAATGGGTAAAAATAATTGGAAAGACACTTGAAAAGATATTTGAGAAAATATAATATTAGGGAATATTCATCTTTTAGTCGAATTCGAATGTAAGAGAAAAAATAAATACTCTTAGTTAACGAAGTGGTTAATGACACGTGTTTTAAAGTATTTTTTGGAAAAACACTCGGTGGTTTCGTGAATGTTTTGACACACATTAACGGAAAGTTCGTCGATCCAAGGAATCGAGTCGGTATTCTGGTTTCTAGACGTTTTCGAGGAACCGGAAGCCGTTTCCGCTTCACGAAACGTCCCCAAGAGGATGTCGTAACGATAAACGTATAATTTCTATCGCGAAAATTTGATGGGCGATTAAAGGTTAACGTTTCGAATTCATCGCAGGATCGTATCGATGGTTTTTTAAGAAAAATTAAATCCTCGAATCTCGAAAATTATTGCATACTCTGATATTTGATCTTTAGTTTCCTAAATTCTATCAAAGACAATGAATTATAAAATTTCACGGTTTACATTTTAGTCGTTTAATCTTTTAACGATTGTTCGATATTATTATTTAAATTTGTCCCATGTAAACGATCATTTTTTATAAGAAAAAAAAATAATTATATGTCTCAAATAAAATTTGATAAATGTTTTATTTTTAGAAATCAAAGACAATGTGAACTCGAATAGTTTGCTTTATGTAGCATTTCAAGCACAGTGCGCGTCGAAAATGTGTGAAACAGATATAAACATGAGGAGATGGAGCATATTGCACCCCAAAATGATAGCTTAGGGTTAACCCCTTGTGCACGGCGTATCATCCATCATACAGAGAAAACTTGGCTGATATTTGGACATATGTTTCATGAAATGACACAATATGATCAAAATAAACACAGAAATAGTTATTATTTACTTCCTGTCGATTACAAACGAACGTTCAATTCATGTTTTCGAATATATTTACGAATTAATCTAAAATTTGCATTTGTGAATAAAATTTGCTCATCTCTGCACATGTCTGAAAAGGACATTCCAATAGGACTACAGTGAAAAAGACTAATCTAAAAAAGAGTATACCATATTATCTATATTGTACAAATTACATTCTTTATGCAAATTCATATGTTTAGTAATAGAATTAAGAAAATGGGAGCTTTGTAGAGGGTTGTCTTCTTCTAAATATAATAATTCGTACCTTTAAGTACGTCTTCAATTTTTGCATATTAAGTGCATTTTATAGTTTCTTTAGAATCAATATTTCCCATAAATCCATAAACCTCCACAGTCCAACCATGAAAACGGAAATGAAAGAAGACGAAATCCACCCAAATTACAGTTTCCAAATCTAATCTCAAAGCTCCCCAGGGGACCCATGAAATCCTCGTACAAAACAAAGTTGAACGAGTAATTTACAAGTTGTTAAAGGCGAACGTGTCAGGGTGGTTCCCTCTGTACGCGTGTATTTAGTAGGAAAATCGTGGTCCTCCAAAGGGAGAATCGTTTTTTCCCAAAAAAAGATGAACGCGAGTTACGGATAATTTGGAGCCATTCAACTTTTCAGCGACACGTGTCGCAGACCTTATAGAAGCATCCTCCGTTCCCCCGTTGCGTGGGCGGCCCCCTTTCGTGTCCCCATCGCGAGCACGGCCCTGAGCATGCTGGTGCATTGTACATCGTAATGTATTTTCTTTTAGGTACCGCCGACAATAGCGAGCCTGGCGGCGATGAAGGTGGAGGCAGCTGACCCGAAGGTTTCCGGTGAGTTACTATTTCCTCCTCCTTACGGAATTATCGGGATCGTAATTAGATTCAAATCGAGTCCCCGGCGTTCGACGACCCTGCGCGCCGCGGCGCAGCCCGGGAAGGGAGGGACGAAAAAACAAGGAATGACAAAAGAAAATGGCCATGGTAGGGAGCGTGGGTCGCGGAACGACGCGACGCGTCCAAATCGGCGACGATCTGGTTGAACCAGTCGATTTGCCCTCGTCCTTTTAATTATCACGCTTCGAAACCTGTTATCACGCCGGAGACAAAGATCTCCGTTACGTTCGATCGTGGAACGTCGATCCTGCCGCGTTTCGGGACGAAACCTCTGCTGCTCAGCCTTCGATCGATCACGTGACTTCAAAATAACGCGATATCTGGACAACTGTGACCACTTTACATTCGCGTTACGTACTGGTTTTGCTCTCTAAATTAACCCTTTTACTGATCAACTTTTTCTAGAGGTTTACTTGAGCCAGTTTAATACAAAATAAAATCTGATGTAAAGTTGTTTCGATAAGAATTGTAGTGTTTGTGTGTAATGATACTTAACGACCATTGGTAGACATTGATAATGGAATATAAATTGAAAGATAAATTTTCAACTTTTTTCATCTTGGTGCAAGACACTGATGCTGTAAAGCCACAGTTATTAAATCAGACTTCAAAGGTTTAGATAATGTAACTAGTTGCACTGAGTTACCGAATGTTAAACAAAAAATAACATAAAATACTTAGTTAACGTTAAAAGTATTAGTTGGTAGCCATTCGAATGCTAGTTAATAACGAATAAAATTGCAAAAAGCAACAAAATGACACTCGTATTACTTCACCCTTGAGTCGCCCATAAGATGAATTTGATTTGCAAAAAGGGTAAATTTAATCTGAGAAAGGATGACTGGAGTGCAAAAGCTGTAGCAGTTGTTCACAATTTATGAAAACATCGCGTCATAATAAAATAACATTAAATTAAATATACATATACATAAAATATTATCTCCACGTCGAAGGTTTACCGAAAGATCGAATCGACGAATGGCAGAGTTTCGATTGTTTTCGAGGTGTTTTTATGTTAAATTACTCGAGGGGCTAGTCAAATTAACAACCGGGAACACCCTCTATCGGAAAATGGAATTCTAACCTGAACGTGGGACGGGTTATTCAACAGGTGGGTCGAATTTCCTCGTTCAGAAACAGGAGGTCTAGCCAAAGGGAAACCGTCATCGAATTTCACAGGATTTCATGCACAGCAGCAGTATCGCGTCAGTATTCGATTCTGCGTTGCACAATAACAATTTAGTCAGTGAATGTTATTAGCAGCTTAGCACGAACGCCCAGAAACAATTCCAAGTATATTGCACGTAATATTTTCTCGATCGAATCAAATGGCAGCTCGAACTCTTACAGGGAATGAACGATTCGATGAACATCTAATTTTTTAAATATTTATTTTAAAAGAAATAACAAATTTAACTAAACTCAAGAATTATTAATATACTTTTTGTAATACATTAGTTGCAGCTTTGATTTTTCTAGACCGATTATAAAAAAGTGATTATCGAAACATAAATGTGCAATTTTATTTATATAGTTAGGTTATGGTATATAACAATTATTAAATGGTTTAATGTTTATAAAAAATTTATTTTTAATTGAATATTGTGGTTGACAATATTTAATTTTAAACCTTTATATTTCTATTAATTTCAACAAATTTTCTGATGGGTACACCATTTATTTTGCTCAATTTAAAATGCTTTTCTCATAAAATTTATTATCGATGCTAAAAAGCTGTATAATTTTCGAACTAGAAAGATGAGTTTTGGTATAAATGCTAAAATCGTGTAATTTTATAGAAAATATAATTATCAATGACAGAAGATCGACCAAAGCGGGGCCTATCTTTCAGATAAAAATCACCACGTTTGGTTGTAAATAACGATCCAATACGTCTAATTTAAATAAATTGTAAATGGCTTCAAACGAAAAGTTATTGATATATAATACTATTAAGAGCTACGAAGCGTTGAAACTCGCGTCTTTCTTGGATTATTTAAATTCCACGGAGAATGGTCCCGCATCCTATCGAGACAATTATCAATTCCCACGGTCACGTGACCTGTGGACCCGTAAATCTCGTTGCAGCGAGGAACGCGCGTGTCCCGTCTTGTATTTGTTCGATTGAATCGGTGCAGGCTCGTAAAACGCGTGCAACCTGACGAAACGAGTCGTCTCCCATGCTTTCAGCGTTTTGTGGCTGGGGGCTCTTCCCCCTTTATTGGAATATCCGCCCACAGCATTATGGGAATTATCAAGGAAATGGGATGAGCGCAAGTGGGTCCCACGAGGGGGCTGCAGGGGGTTGCCATGTCCGCGAACGATCGGGAAAGAGAGGAAGACCGTGCGTGGAAACAGATTCATGCAGGTCCCCCATACACACCCACCCCCGACACTCAAAAAATTACGCCTCTGATGGAGATGCTGCGCGACGACTATGCCGGGTACACGAATCGTTGCTCTATACTATGGATCACTGAATCCTAACCTTTTTTTTCTACGACCCCCTCTCCCAATATTCCAATAAATTTCATGAACCCCTTTTATCGAAACGATATCGTCCAGCATTTGGGTGGCTGTCTTTTCTTAAAATTAACTTCCCAAATAATTTGCAAGTGTATTTTATAATAATGGCATTATATAATGTTTATGGTAACTTTCCAAATTAACGTAAGCAAAGTTGAATCATTTCCAGACAAGTAGGACAATTTTGGTCGTTTTCTCTAGCTGCTTCGTGGTCTCGAGTCTCTCTACCTTTACTCATAGAAAACAACCAAAACTGGATATATAGATAATATTCAAACTGCAATTTAGTAATGAACAAAGTCACAAAAGTGTTTAATACTTTTAGAAACACCTGCAACTGTCTCGTCAAGACAAACATATTTAAAAACTAAATTACCTTAAAATGATGACGCGAAGGAGTACTGAACTATAGTGGCTTTACGTGAAAAAATATAAACAAATTATAATTTATTAAATTAAAATGTTTTTTTTTGTGTTATACGTACATTTATATTTTTCATAAAAATTAAATTGCTTATGTAGAATTGAAAAAAAATATTTGTTTTTAATAAGTTTTCGGAACGTAACTCCCCTTTTTATAGCTACCGTGTTATAGGAGGGAGTTACCTGTATTACATAATACTTTTCTAAGGATAAACGTGTTCGATGGGTTCCGAGAAGGTAGTAGATCGAGTTCCTCGCGAGACGTAGCGATGACGATCGAGGGTGAGACGCGCGTCAGATTTTCGAACAGAGGGATTCCCAAACGAATCACGCGCAACGAAACGAAAAAGTCCCTAGCGAAAGAAGCGTCCGCGAGGCATTCTAGCGACAGGAGTTAATTTTAGATCGTGCCACGGAGCACGCGATGCCGATCGATCGGCGATAGAATAGAGAAGTCACCGACCCGATGGGAATTTCATTAATTATAGGACATCGCGGGGATAGAATCGAGAAGTTACGTAACCGTTTCGATAGCGGTTTATAAATACGCCGACAGAGTGTGCGCCGATCGTCGCATCCGAGCCTCGACTCGTCGTGTTTTATCGCGCGGGGATTCTTTCGAGCGTCTTTCGCGTTTCTTCTCCAAAGGATCTGTCGTCGAGCGGCCGAAAAGTTCGCGCGAATCGGATCGCCGGCTCGCGACGTGAAAGAGAGAGAGAGAGAGAGAGAGAGGAAGAGAGTGAGGTTCGCGCTTGCTAGGGAATTTTTCCGTCGAAACCGAAGAAACGAATCAGCAGCGGTCAGCGGAAATTATGGCAATCGGTTGACAAAGGAGGGGAGAGAGAGGAGTAGGCGGCCTCTCTCGGTGTCTCTGTTATCCGGAGACACATTCCCACAATTTACAGATCGGCCAATCAACGTCTCGCACTCCCGGACGATATTAAGCTCGTCGCGGGATCCGCGCTGAAACGGAATAAAATAAAATTGTGCGTTGTTCGGTCGGGCCGTGTGGCGCGTTCGTCGGCACGACAATAAAAAGGAAAGAGAGACAGGGTGAGCGCGAAGGAGAGAGAGTGTCGAGGAGGCAGAAGGAGAAAGAGTGAAAGAATCGGGAGGCGAGAGAGAGGGCAGCAATCAAAGCTGATTAAGCCCACAACTGGGGAATCTGTGGGGCCAGTGTCTCACGCCAATCTCGCCCAATCAGCCGGTTGGCCGGGGAGATTTAAAAAATAGAATGCCTACTGTCAATTGTCCCATAATTTAAATAAATCGAATAAATGGACAAAGTGGCCAATTAGAGTAGTTGCTGCTTGCTGCTTTAACGCATTATTCTCTCTTTCTCGCGGTGTCTTCGGCCCTCTCGCCCTCCCCCCGCGGGCTTGGGACCCTCTTTCAACGTCTCCTTCGAACTTCTTTCTTCATCCTCGGTCTACCCCTCCTCTTTCCACCGCCCTCTGAATCTCCAGCGTTGTTTGACACCGACGTTACCGACCACCTTGCGTCGAGGTGCACTTCAACCAGGCCCTCCACGATCGGACCCGCCTCGAGGCATGTCTCGCGACAAGCGATGGCTTCGAGACCATTTCGAACGATTTTTTTAACTTTGCTGGTCGCGCGACTCGAGACGAGGCGACGATCAGGCTTGCCTCGATCGTGTATTTCGAGACCAAGGTGATACATACACGAATGGATATTTAGATATCTCTCTGGTAATCAAACTATTTTAAACAATTGCTCACTGCGTCGACAGTTATTCATAGCTAGATAAACGGCGCACGAATAAAATAAAGATGACGGATCACGCGTACCAAATTATTTAGTTTATTTTGTTTCTATTTTTCGTATTGAATCAGATCTTCAACCATTTTCATTTCATAGTTGATACGACTTACTCCTCCACAAATAAAACAAATTTCACTTATAGGAATATTTTATTCAAAGTAGACTCCAATAATCTTGATGGAGTCGAACAATTTCGGATTGTTTTG